GGAAACTAGGGACAGGACAGAGAAGGAGCGCCCTCTGGCTGCAGAGGGCGTGACACTGGCCATCTGAGTCTGGGGCTCAGAGCGCCTTGCCTCATTACCCTGTTTTTAACTCCTTGTTCCTGTTCCGGATCTTGGTTCTCAGATGGTTCTCCCGGTACCTTGACCCTGGACTGCACCCTGGATTTCACCCTTGGACCTTTTGGACTTGTTTGCCTGCGCCACTCCCCCTAGCACCGGATCACCATTGTCATGCCCTTCTGATCCTCATCGTGTTTTCCCTGTTGTCCTTCTCCGCTTACTTCCGGATTATACCGTCTGCATAGGATCCTAAACTACGCTTCAGGGAGCCTGGACCAGCTCCCGTTACACCCATCTTTACCAGGTTATGAGCATTGCCTGGTTGCAAAATATTTTTTGGATTCCACCCACCTCCTTACTACACCCCATCATCAACTAACATTTTAGTACACATTTTACATTCTCCTGATGAGATGTGTTTGTGTTTTTAAGCCTTCTGTTGTCTCAAGTCTCGTGAGAGAATTCAAATGAAGCATCAGGGATTAAATCCAGACTCATTCTTCCAGCACATCACCAGTAAAAGAACATTTAAATAAGAATCTCAGAAATCCCAGAGACTACAGTAGAGATAAAAACAGCAGATGTTCTGATTGATTATGCGGGGCTTTCTAGCAGAGAGAAATACTCTACCTCACACTGCCTTCATATTGTCTCTGAAAGGCTTCACCATACACCAATTTATTAACAAGACACAGATCTCTAAAAACTATACTGTACATATATCTACCAGATCAGACAGTAAAATACACAAATAAAGAAAGGTTAGAAATGGCATTCAATTCATAAAACAGTATTTTCTCTTTTTTTGTTATTATTTGCATTTGATTAGATATAGTGGCATGGCTCTTGAATAGGCTTTTGGTTGTCTTAGGGATAACAGCCATGAGGCAGTAGACTGGGCAGTTAGAGCTCATTGCACTTAAAAATGGTATTAGTATTTTTAAAGTATCACATTTTAAAATTATAATTTACAATATCATGTATTAAAATATACAGATGAACTATGCCCATTAAACTAATTAAGGTAATTATTTTTCAGAAAGTGATTGACTTAAACTGTGTTGGAATATACAGGTAAATTGTGTAACAGGTAGCATTCTATGTAAAAATACTGTCCAGTAGATGGCTCTGTTATCTGAGTGGTGTAGCCTGTTAAAACCTGTATGCTTTCAAATGGTCACAATAGTAATATCTGCTTGTGATAAGAGTTTGTTTTTATGGCTTGTGTTAATCCATTGGTGGTACTGTAATACATAGGTTCGACACTGCATTTTATCAAATCTTATATAAAGATTTCCCACATATTTTCTATATTCCCTACATGACTAATTGAGGATACCTGTGTCATACTGTAATTGTGTATTGTGATCGTGGTTGTACTGTAGAAAAGATTAAGATTAAGGAGATACTTTACATACCGAATTGTCAGGAATTTTCACCAACTGTTTGTGCTACCTTTTAATACACTGTTTAAGCATACTCACACACAACAGACTTACACAGCTATGAAAATGACCATAATCAGATAAATTAAACATTTTTGTAGGGGTTGGGCCTACTTGGAGAAAGTCTTCCAAAGATACATAGTGACACCTTGAATTTTCAGCCAACCTTCTTGATTGATGCAAAAACACAAACATTTTTTTAACTTATTCAGAAAATTATTCTTTTTTTAATTTTCAATTTTGTTTGTGCACTTTCAGCTAAATGTGTTTTTCAGTTACAGTAATTAGTGTCACTATCTACAATCAAATGTATATGGTGGCACTAATTACTGTCTTACAGAATCACATGAAAGGGATGAGGAATTTTATTCTAAGCATCTTTTAGTAGAAAAGTGTTATTTCTTGTGGGTGTATTACTTGGCAAAAAATGATTCATAGAAAATCACATTCAAATAATTAAGGCTATGCTTTGAATTTAGGCTGAGAGAAACATATTGGAGACTCGCAAAAAATTACAGGTCATATAAAATCACATTTTGTTTTATAACGCTTTAAAAAAGAAAAGTAGAATATGCATTTATAAGTAGCTTTACGGGAAATTCTTTATGAAACACTTAATTTAATCATAGGGTTAGGAAATTGTTTTTTCAGTTAAATGCATAGTAGTCATTTGAATAACAAAATTTTCCAAAATACACCTGTAATCAAACCTTTAATAATAATGTGTCTCATAAAACATTAAAATGTAAGTAAATTTAATTAAGATGTTTTTTATACAAACATTTCAGCAGAAAGTCCTTCTTTTTTAAAAGGACTCATTTGAGTTCTGTTTAGTATCAAACCATAGTTATTGAAGTTGCATAAACCCCATTCATTTTAATATAATCTTGTAAATGCATCAAGAAGCTATCTAAACAGAATTGATATAATACACAAAGAATAATAATTTGTTTCAATAATCATTTGTTGCATATTTATATTAAATGGGAACGGGAACACAGTCTGATAGCAAAGCTGTATAGGATAATGTGAAATTCTGAATTATAATGTCTTTTTCATAACTCTGATATACTGTACAGTATAACTGTCTGCTGCATAGTTGGTATCTTAGAAAACTACACAATTCAAACTATACATTTTCTTGTTACAGACTATCCATCAAAGTCTACAGCTTTTTGCAGTCAAGTGGAGATGGTCCATCACATCATTCACCCATGACAGTCAAAAAACAGGGGAAAAGAAACCAGAAACTACGAAATTCTGCAGGAAAAAAAAAAAGAATAACGCAAGCTGTTTTGCAGTACACATAATTTAATACACTATCCTTATGGTCATGCTGGCTTCTTTTGAAGTGATTAGTCTGGTAAAGAATTGCATCTGGGGACTGGATTTGTTAATTTGGGAGTGAATTGAACTCTCGGTGCACGATTATAAGCATGAAGAAAAGTGGTTGTGAGTGTAGCCTAGAGGTGCAATCAATACTCTGTTTAAGCCATGTGAAAACAGTATTTGTGATGGTGAAGCATTATATTGCATATCCACTTCAACAGTTTCTCCCCTAAGCTTCCCCAACATTTTACTAATGTTAAACAATAAATAATTTTAACACTTACCCAGCAGGAAGGATATTTGTGAAATGTGTACTGACCTGTGAAATATCAACACTCAATATTTTGTTATCATGGTTATATTTATGAATAACAAAGTGAATTTGAAAGTTTAATCTGATCTCTATATAGGTCACTATAAAATAATCACATCTGTAAATATTAGTTTTAAGCCCAAGTTGACATTAGAGCAGTGTTTACCTTCTGGCTGAATATATATGCTAATACTTAAACACTTCTCGATCAAAAAAGTAGAATTTAAACAAA